ACATTTAATTAATAATCCTCAATCCAATTTCACCCACCACCCCTTTCTACTTCTTTAAGGTCATGCTACTATTTATATGCCCCCCCCCCTTCCTAGGATATATGACTATTATATTGTTACTCATTTCATTTTAATTTTGTAATTTATTACTCTCTGCTTGTCTGGTCCCCCAGGCGTGCACACTCACACACACACACACACACACACACACACACACACACACACACACTTCTGTGTATATGTGACACTGTACGTGTATGCACTTGTCTTGTAACTCCTATATCGCTAAATAATAATGATTGATTGCAAAGTGAGGCAAACATTAAATAGACATCCAAAACAAAATAATCACTGTCGCAATTAAAAGTTTAGAATTTGAATATCAACATGAGTGAAGCCTCTTAGCTATTTGTAAAGTAGCGACATTTTATCCTTTTTAACTGTTTTTTTATAATAAACATGGGATTCTTCGCCTTGTTTACATTTCTCCTCCAGTCTCAACTTGCTGCAGATGAGATTTATTTTAAATACCTCCCCGTAACACATTGATTCTAAACTCCAGGATCACAAACGTAAAATAACTTAAACCTGTTTTCTTCCCCTCTTGTAGAACCTGGAGTCCAAACTGGCGTCGTGTCGCAGGGGCCCCGCTGGGGGTCCGGGGGCCACGCCGAGCCAGAACAGCTCCTCAGAGAGCCATCCTGCCAACGGCCTCTACAGCAAGGGGTGAGGTTCACAGATTTAACGTTTTTTTGTCATATGTAAATCTTAAATCTATAAGGCATACAAATAAATACAGAAATAAAATAGTGCAAGAAACGTAATGGGTGGAATAAATATACAAATAAAATGGTATAAAAAAAAAAAGTGAAGTTAAATAAGTATAATAATATGTGCAATAATAAATGTGTGTATCGTAAGTGTTCAGACAATGTGTTCTTACCCAGAACAGTTTGTAAAAGGGAGAACATTTTTCAAATTAGTCCAGGTTTTGTTGAAAAACACACATTTCAATGTAATATATATATATATATAAAACGTGTTTTTAGAAGTACAGATCTGAAAAAAATTAAGAGACCACTGCAAAATGATCAGTTTCTCTTGTCTCTATTTCTAGGTATGTGTTTGAGTAAAATAAATATATTTTTATTTTATTTGATAAACTACTGACAACATTTCTCTGTGTTGGAATTCAACACTGGAATGGCTGCCAAACATGTAGAGATTGAGATCTAAGAAACATTTGGAGTGGTATCTTAATATTTTCCAGAGCTGTACTCGCTTTCTCCCCTTTTTTTACATCCCAGTCAGTGTTTTTTAGAAAGTACCAGTTGTGGAAGATGTACGTGCAAATAAAAGTACTGCATATACATGTCTACTTAAGTGACATAAGTATTTTTGTGTTATCAAAAATATTTACATAAAGTCCAAATCCTAGGATGAGGAATGGCCCCTGGTCAGCGCTATATTACACTAATATTATATTTTCCGATAATTTTTTGCGGTATTAATGACATTTCAGTTCATATACTGTTGGGTAGTCAGTTCTTGACAATGTTTAATGAAAAAAAGTTTTGCCGTGGTGACCTTTAATCTGAAAACTTTCTGACATACATTCCAAACATATTCCCTCTAAGGTCGCATTCACACCTAATAGTCCGCTGGTGCGCACCAGACCACAGTTTGTTTCATTTTTCAGAAGGTTCGGTTTGCGTTCACACGGGCAAAACTCAAACGGACTATAAACTTTAAACACAAGTCATGTGCTCGGAAATGCTGTTCAACAATTGGTCAGACATTAAGGGGGTAAAAACGCAAATCCCAGCAATTTCTACCGGAGCCTCCGCCATGGAGCATCGGCAGGTCACATGCTGTTGTTATTCTGGAGAGCATATCAACAGATTCTAGCAACGGCGCATATGATTATATAATCAGACAATGTGCGATTAAAAGCATTATAACACATATAATGAGACGTTCTGCAGTAAGGAGGGGGTTTCACCGACGACAGGTGGCTCTAACATTTATGTATAGTTTTTAGTTTGATAGTTGTGTTTACTTTACACGACACTATTCAACACTTCATTCTGCTTCACTCTTTCGCTAACGATTTTGAAGACACCCGCGTTCATGTGACACGTAAATACTACTCTTCCTATGTTTTGGTGCGGACTGCGTTCACACCAGCGATGAACCGCTCCAGAGTTCACTAGCAAGCGGTCCGAGACCACCTCTTTTAGGCGGACCAGAGTCCGGTTGTTTAGTTCACTTCAGAGGTCTCGGACTGCGTTCACACCGACCCAAATGAACCGCACCAAGCGGCTAAACGCACCAGGGTTCGATTCAACCGGACTATACAAGGCTGGTGTGAATGTGACCTAAATGTATTGGAATAAAAAGCAGCATGAAATGGGTTTATTCATTCCAGTACCTATATGTTTACTTGAGCTCTGTACCTGAGTAAACATACTTAGCTACTCTCTACCACCAGCCAACAGCAGTCTACTTCCTTTCATGGTTTGAGGGTTGTGAGGGTTTCTTTGTATACCGTTCCATTGTAAAGTGTTTGTTGTGTGTTTTATAGGCTGGTGAAGAGGTTAGACTTCGGAGCGGGACCCAAGCTGCTGCTGTGAAACGTCTCTCCTTCCACCCTCAGTCCCCCCCCCCCCCCCCCCCCCCCCCTGTCCATCCTGGATTTAACGGTACTGTGTTGCACGTCGTACAGACACTGGGAGCAGCTGATGTAAACCAATGAACATTTCTCTGGATACTTTGGATCGTGTCACTGGCTCAAGCTATCATTGACTCTGTTTGTCAGCAGCTTCTTTCAGCACTCGCACTTAGCTTGAACTATTGGAACGGACTTGTGCTGCATGTCACCCCATCACTTTTTTTTGTATTTTTTTGTATTTGTGTGTCAAGACTGAACTCAAAGCAGATTTCAGGGTAAAGGAAAAGTCACAAACGGATGCAGGGTTACGCTGAGACGGAGATGCTTGAACTTAGGGAGGAAAAAGCCTTTATTCTTAAACGGTATCACTATAACTATAACAGGGTTTCCCACAATGTTACATATGAGAGTAATATCCAGTTACAAACACAGCCACAGAGATAAAGGCCACATTTACATTAGTCAATTAATCACGATTGAATTTAATAGTCGTTTACATTTAGCAACATATATGCATCTCTTTGGGCGAATAGTTTAAAAATGATATTCTGCTTCGATACACATTTGCTTGCGTTAAGCCTTTCAAAAACAGCATTTTTTTTCAATATCCTCAAAATACTGCTGTCCTGCACACAAACAAAAGCTCACGCTATTTAATCCCTTTACTCAAATGAAGGGTTTTTATCTTTAGGGAGATGACATCAAAAGCTTGATTTGACATTTTGAGCTTATCTGAAAACATCAATAAAAGCTTTGAATGTCAAAGAAAATCCGTGGGATGTCGTACTTGATTGACTTTGGGTACTACATCTAAAACCAGGTCAACTCTAACATAACTGGATCTCAGTAATTCTCTTTTTTTTTGTGAGTTACACTTCAAATTACTGTTAAAATGATAATGTTTTGTGGGGAAAAAATAATGTTTAAATGCAGATCTTGCCAACATCTAGTGGCCATCAGTGGTTCTGCATCTTAAAGCTGCCTTATTTAATTTATTGTATACATAATGAATTAATGTGAGATGATTTTTTGCAGCTCTATGCGGATCTTCATTGAACTCGATCTGGTTGTGTTCCTCATTCAGCTCAATGGTAACTGTTCAAGATATGAACTTAGACTCTGAATAAGGAAACTCCTGTTGACTTGCTAATATCTGTTTTGGCTCAGAGTCTTTTCATATCTGTTATCTGCGATCGAGATACTTGCATGACGCAGACGCCCAGCGCACACTCCGAGCTACAACCTGAAAATAAGCAGAGATAGAATAAAGGGCATCCAAATAAACTATATAATTGTGCACATAGAATAAGCGCCGGAATGAATGAATGAATGAATATTTCACCCACAAAAAGATCCCTTTCATATTAATAACTCACCTCCAGTCACCTTTAATGAATACTGTCATGCCTTTACGGCGTCTTGATGAACTGAAGTAAATGGACGCGTTTCATAACATCAAACTCTTACAAAACGTGTGCAGTATAATCCAAGTGTCTTTTATCTAGCTCCCTACTTCACAAAAACACTTGCAGGAGTGTCAGGGTTATGGTTAGATTATATGGTTGAATTATACGGTTTTAGCAAAAGGTTGTACAGCTAGATAATGAGAATTGGATTATACTGCAAGGATTTGTTTTTTAAAATATAATTGTATAATGTTACTGTATGTTGTTTACTCTGTCCCATTCTTTGATATGATGTGTGAATGAACTCTGACGCAGCAGGGCTGACCCTCTGCAGAGCTACTTCTGGGTCTCAGGAGTGAAATAGGAAACGTCTCCTGTTAGCCAGGAGATATGAAAACTTCAGTGAAGGCTACTCGTGTTTTATGTTAAAAAGGAAAAGTATGTAATAGGTTTGAATTGTAGTGTTGAATATACTGTACTTTGACTGTAGAGTCACTAATACAGATGTTAGGGTTGACTAACATTGAGCTGCTCAGGGCAGACTGAACACTTTGTGATAACCGTCATTTATATGTGGTCATTCATACATTTATTTTACTAGTAACAAACAATTCATGATGATAACATATTATAGAATGACTTATAGGTAAACATTAATCATAATTGTATTGTTTGTTCATAGTAAAATAACTTATTTGGGGTTTAATTCCAATGGTTATTGTAAAGTGTTGCAAACGTTTTTTTGTTCTTGTTTTTTTCCGTGGCCTCATTCTGATGACTGTTGAGTAATACCATGATCTCTGTCAACCTTAAGTGCTGCTTATGTTTCTGAGAAAGCAATACAACTTGAAATGTTAATAAAATATTTGATTATCATCATTTTGTTCCTTCTAGAAAGCCAAAAAAGGGAGGCGAAACATCGGTGAGGATTGTATTGAGCAGTTTAATAGCACTTCAGAAAGTCAAGCTGCGTCAAAGCACTCATTGTACAATGCACATTTATTATTATATTTGATATTATATTGTGAGGTTTAAATCACTCCGCCTAATCTTACAGTTGGTTATACAACATTTGGGTTACATGTATAGCTTTACATACACTTTCCAAATGAACAGATCATCTCTAAAATACTCAAGAAACCAGAGCAAAAGCCTCTTTTTCCAAAAAATAAACCCGTGATTTTTTTCTGGAGGAACCCATTAGTTTAGAGAAACAAAGTGATCTGAAGTTTTTTTTAAATGCTTATTTTTATTTAGCTATTCAATTGAGAAACTATATTTTTTGCTGCATTCTTAAAAAATATGATTGAACCCTTTCTCAATTTTTCATATTCATCAACATTTTAAAAACTTGAAAACATTTTTTTTAAATGTATAAATCACAATATATTGACTTTTCTTGTTCAATATGTTTTCATTGTGTTTTACAAACACATGTTTTCTGGTTATCTGGATGAAAAATACAGCAAATTGAGAAACGGATAAAAAAATGTGTTCATTGTGAAATAGATATATAAGAATAATTGTAATGTTTAGAAAAGTATTCTAGATTAGAGAGTAATATATTAATTTTTGTGTGGAAAGGTTACTTTTCTCTGTGGCATCATTATAAATAAATATAATAGACATTTAAATATTTAAACTACATTTAATATAAAGACATTTTCAATATATTAAATTCACATAAAAAAATTTGAAGATCATTTTGTGCACATTTGTGTTGAACTAAACCAGACCTGGATGTGTCCTTTCAACCGTGTTCAAATTGATACTTTTGACTCATAAATCATGTTTTTCCTAACTCCAAATTATTTGTTGTTCAAGTTATAATATAAGGAAACTATTTAAATAATTTAAAATAAATGTGTGAAAATATTTCTGGCAGAGGTTCTGCCATAGAAAAAAAAAAATATTGTTGTGAATATGTATTATTATTATTATTATACTTTTTGCCAACTTGTTTGTGTAAGTACCTCTAGAGTTTCAACATAAATCCATTGTGATATTCAAATATCTCTTTCACGTTATAATATAAGGCAACTTTATAAATAATTTAAATAAAAAGTGTGGAAACATTCCTGGGCCTCTACTCGTCGGGGGAGTAGGACTCCTCGCGGGGGTCCAGTGGGGGGGACGGGGAGCGTGACGGAAGCTCCTCCTCCTGCAGATCCAGCGAGTTCTCCTTGATGCTCCTCCGGCTGAGGCCCCCCCCCAGCCCCAGGCTCCTCATGCTGCTCATGCCTCCTCCTCCACTGCTGCTGCGGGGGCTCGGGCTGCTGAACACCGCCTCCCCCCCGCTGCCACGCCTGGGAACACCCACCACACCAGGAGGAAGAAGAAGAGGAGGAAGAGGAGGTCAGGAGGAGATTGAGGAAAGAGGAAGGCGGCTTATTGCAAAGCGAGTTTGAACAAAATAAAGGTTAAAGCCCCGTAAAAGTGAAAAGAGAGCGATGAGGAAATGAGAAAGAGTCCCGTTGAAGCAGAGAAGGATATGTGCAGGAAGCTTTGAGGCAGTTTGCAGATCAGTAGTGTCTGAGGGAAGCGAGGCAGGACGAGAGGAGGAGGACGACATTTAATAATAGCAAAAATGTGCAATATTATTCAATATTTAAGAAATCTTTCAACAAAAAATATATAAATATATATATAAACAAATAATGTTAGGATTTTTTCAATAGAATACATTTAGTTGTATTTGTGATTAGTGTTTTTGTTTTGATTTTTTTTTAAGTATTTTATTTTGTTTGGATTTCTCGGATTTGGTTAATTTTGTTTGAATATTTTTTACTATTTATTTTGTGGGGAAGTATTTATTTAGTTATGTTTCTTTCAAATAGTTATTTTTTCTGATGTATTTCTTAAAATAAAATGTATTTAGTCAATTAAAATCACAAATAAATGTTATTTGATTTTTTTTTAAATAGTATTTATTTGGTTGTGAATTTTTAAATATTATTTATTTTCTAGTGAATTTTTATTTTAATTTTGTTGTGATTTATTAAAGTAGTATTTATTTAGATGTTAATAGTTTTTTAAATAAAAATCATTGTGATGTATTAAATAGCATTTATGTAACAGCTCCTCGTGTCCCTGCGGTACCTCAGTTTGCTCCTGAGTGAGGCCATGTCTCTGTTCATCGTGTCGTTGGCCTCGCTGGCCTCCTCCAGCTCCCTCTGCAGCTTCCTGCGAGCGGCCGCCACGCGCTGAGCCTCCTCCTCCGCCTCCTCTAGCTGGTGCTTCAGCTGCTTCACTCTCACGTTGCCCTTCTCCGCCTGCACAAAGCAGCAGCAACAAGTAGCATCAGTAAATGACAGTTACATGCAGCTTTACATACTTCTACACTAGCTTTATTTACCTGGTCTTTGTACTGCTGCGCCTGCTTCCTCTCGTCCTCCATCTGGATGGTTAAATCCTTCAGTTTCTTCTCCTTCTGACGCAGATTCTTGGCGTTGGACTGACGCTCTCTGCACAAAATAAATAAAAAATATCACCAAACATTTATAAGATAGAATAAGATAACAACAACCTGTATAACAATGTAATACTGTGCATGTACAATAATGATCTTTTATGTAACTTGGTTTCACTGCATGATTGTTAGTTGGAAATTAACTTGACAAACTCCGTTTCCCACCATGCACCAGTACCTGCTCTCTATCTCCAGCTGCTCTTCCACCTCTCTCAGTTTGAACTCCAGGGCGGTGATGGAGGACTTGAGTTTGGAGCGGCCCTGGCCCTCCACCTCCTGCAGCTTGGCCTTCAGCTCCCGGGTCTGCCTCTCCAGCTGCTGCCGGGACGCCTCCTTGCTCTGAGAGGTGGAGCGCTCCACTGCCAGCTCCGCACCCAGCTGATCCACCTGCACACCGAGGGACACGAGGAAAAGGGATTCACTCGGGGAGGAAACGCCTTAAACCAGTGGTTGAAGAAGTACTCAGATGTTTTAGCAGTAAGATTAAGTAGTAAAAGTAAAATTACTTTTCATTTCAGAGTTTTTTATTTAAAAATATTGGATTATTGATGCGTTAATGTATATATATCCCAGCAGGTAATGGGTAAGTAGGATTTCATTTATTTAGCACTTTCACCGGGAAAACAATACACATATTTATAAACACAAGACACGTATATAAATAAAGTCCTAAATAAATAGCAGCTCCTATAAAGATGCGCAGGAAAGATTCCCTAAACCCAGAAACAAGTCAGCTTTTTAGCAATTCCTTAATAAGTGTGTCAGTACATAGTCAACTCTTACCGTACTGTAGCTTCTTTTGTCTTCAAAATGGCAGCTGCTTAGGACACTGGAAAATGTAATCGCTATGACATTAGCAAACCTTAGCTTAGTCGTGGGGAGATGAAGTCATATGACCGTGCTTTAGTTACATTATAGCCTCGCGTTAGCTTTTTATTACTGGTGATTGCATTTGTGCCTCAAAAAAAGATATAACTGTTAGTATGTGGAAATTATTTTGCTGAACAAAACGTGTAAGTATCATAAACTCTTGTTTGTCAGAGTGCTTTTTTTCTGCCACCCTAACCCATTAATGCCCTTTTCACACCGGCGCTTTTTCCTGTTCACACCGCAGCGGCGCCGCGTCATAGCTCCGGAATACGGTTCACTTCCAGCTCCAAAAAATTGTCGGTCTAGAGGCAAGAGCTTCGGAGCTATGACGCGGCGTCGCTTACGTCTCTCTTACGTCGAGGCGTGCAGGAAATTTGTACCTTACTTTGACCATCCGTTCGCTGTTATTGATCATTGTGGAGAGCAGGCAGATGTTTTGTTTGTTATTATAGTAGCTATCGGATGGAATCAATACCTGGGCTTCACAGGTTGTCATGTCCGACTATCACAAGTAGAATCATAATGAAAAATACGCCGGTAAAATGTGCCTGTAGAAAACGGCTTAGCAAGTAGTCAGTTTAGCTTCGGTTGCTATGCTAACATCACCCATGTTATACCAGAGAAACTTTCATAACAGCGTTGTGATGCCAAACAGCGTCAATTCAGACTGACACACATTCACTTAAGGGGAACTGGGGATATGTATCAGCTGCTTGTGTGACAGTCAGACAGTGAATACTTTAGAGCCGTGTGAGCTAACCCGGAGCTAACGGGAGAATAAACTCCCGTGGAAGAGCAGCCAGCACTGCAGCGGTCGGTAAATGCCGCTGAAACACATTAATAAACAATGAACCACGGCACTCTGGAGAAAAGTATAAGGTTGGAGAAGTCGTTATTTAATTTAATCTGGCTTCGTATGATTAAAAGCACCACGATCATCGACCCGACGCAGTCCCCCCCCCGTTGTTGTTGTTGTGAGCTCCGTTGGGGAGAAAATCAGCGATGTAAACGGTGACGTCATGACGCAGCAGCGGCAGCTGGGCGGTGTGAACAGAGCGGGAGCTGAAAAGGGAAACCGGAGCTGAACCAGAAAAGCTCTAGCTAGGAGCTAGAAAGGGAAAAGCGCTGGTGTGAAAGCCGCATAAGCAGTTTGCCTTAATGTAACATGAAAAGGGAAAAAAACATGGGGCCCAGGATTGAACCCTGTGGAACTCCGCAGAGTTAAAGGAGTATATGAGGACATATAATTATCTTTGGCAACTTTAAAATGCCTATTTGATGAGCAGGACGACTAAACCCACTCCACTCTCTCCCACACCCTCACCAGCTGCTGGCTCTTTCTCAGCCGGTCATTGAGGCTCTCCACGTTGGCCTGCTCTTCCTCCAGCTCCTCCTCCAGCTGGATGATCTTTGCATCCATGCGGCGATTTTCATCAGACAGCATTGATCTGAAGAAAAAGGGGCGGAGTATCGAGAGATGAGCACAAACAAGAATGGAATGTTGGGAAGTAAATACAAAATAAGATGAAATTCACACAGTTTTATAGCTAATTTGTATGATAATATCTTCAATGTAACTTACCATATTTTAAATTATTATTTTCTCTTTTTACCTCACCAATAAAAAGATCAATTGTAAAGCTTTAGAACTGAATGAGGTTTTTAGTTGTATGGTCATTCTTATTTGACACAAACTCCAACACAATGCATTTAAACTGTAGGGCTAACACATGAACATCATAAAATAAAATATAAACATGTGTTCATCAAACAAGACACTCACTTTCCAGAGGAGTTACTGGTGAGCTCATCAGCCAGCTCGTCTCTTTCTGTCTCCGCCTGTTTACGAGCTCTCTCCGCAGCTGCCAACATCTGGACGGACAGACAGACAGAAAGACAGGCAAGAAACACTTTTAAGAATAGTGACCTTATGATCAAAATAGGATATCAAAATCATATTGATGGGTAAATGCCTGGTAAATGATCAAAATCACAACACATCCCCTCCAACCTGATTTTGAGTTCGTAGGAGCGTTTAGGATATTATTATTTGTGTAATTATTTTGTAATATAAGAGTTGCTCTCCTCAGCACGATGCTAAAACTTAGCAAAGAAAAAAAGGTGGTTTATTTCAAATGCAATCAATGTGGGCAAAAAAAGATGGTAACTGTACACTTAAAGGTAGGGTATAGGTAAGAATGGAGAAACCAGCTTGAGTGCGCTAGAATTTGAAAGTACGCAGCCGAAAAAAATCTGCCCCTTCCTTCAGACTTCCTCACAGAGCCCCTCCTCCATCACACACGAACGTGCACATGACCAATGAGGGCACGAGATAAGTTTGTGCACAGATGGAAGGCTGACAGGCAGGTAGGCCATCCAGTTATTTTAGTCGGCCCGGCTCAGATGATTGGTCGTGCTTTTTACAGTATTACGGCTTCCACAGATGACATTTTTTTATGTATTTATTGTCAAAGCATTTAAGATATTCATTGCTATCGGGATGTTAAGAGCATTCCATGGAATATAACAAAAAGTGTTTCTGAAGTGAATTACCTTCCCCACCTTTAATGTGAGAGGGTATGCTGTACAGTACAACATGTACGTGGATGCAATTTGAAAATCATTGTCCTTTTTTATTCTACACCACTGACCTCCCCCGACACATCAGACTCTCTCTCAATCAATGAAAGGGATGTAAACAGACTTTTCAGTAAACTCAATACCAGAAAAGCGGCTGGCCCTGACAATGTCTCCCCCTCCACCCTGAAGCTCTGTGCTGATCAGCTGTCTCCTGTGTTTACTGACATCTTTAACACCTCCCTGGAGACATGCCACATCCCAGCATGCTTCAAAACCTCAACAATCATCCCGGTTCCCAAGAAAGCAAGGATCACAGGACCAAATGACTACAGACCCGTTGCCCTGACGTCTGTGGTTATGAAGTCCTTTGAGCGCCTTGTCCTGTCCCACCTGAAATCCATCACAGACCCACTCCTGGACCCCCTGCAGTTCGCCTACAGAGCCAACAGGTCTGTGGACGACGCTGTCAACATGGCCCTTCACTTCCTCCTCCAGCACCTGGACACACCAGGAAACTACTACGCCAGGATCCTGTTTGTGGACTTCAGCTCCGCCTTCAACACCATCATCCCGGCTCTGCTGCAGGACAAGCTCTCCCAGCTGCACGTGCCCGACTCCACCTGCAGGTGGATCACAGACTTCCTGTCTGACAGGAAGCAGCACGTGAGGCTGGGGAAACACGTCTCTGACCCCCGGACCATCAGCACCGGTTCCCCTCAAGGCTGCGTTCTTTCCCCTCTGCTCTTCTCCCTGTACACCAACAGCTGCACCTCCAGTCACCAGTCTGTCAAGCTCCTGAAGTTCAGACGACACCACGCTCATCGGACTCATCTCTGGTGGGGACGAGTCTGCCTACAGGTGGGAGATGGACCATCTGGTGACCTGGTGTGGGGAAAACCACCTGGAGCTAAACGCCCTAAAAACAGTGGAGATGGTCATGGACTTCAGGAAGAACGCAGCCCCGCCCGCCCCCATCACTCTGTGTGACTCCCCAGTAACTGCTGTGGAGTCTTTCCACTTCCTGGGCACCATCATCGCCCAGGACCTCAAATGGGAGCAGAACAGCAGCTCCCTCACTAAAAAAGCCCAGCAGAGGATGTTCTTCCTGAGGCAGCTGAAGAAATTCAACCTGCCAAAGACGATGATGGTGAACTTCTACACCTCCATCATGGAGTCCATCCTCACCTCCTCCATCACCATCTGGTACGCCGCAGCCACAGCCAAGGATAAGGGCAGGCTGCAGCGTGTCATCCGCTCTGCAGAGAGGGTGATCGGCTGCAATCTGCCATCCCTCCACGACCTGCACGCCTCCAGGACCCTGAGGCGGGCAGGGAAGATAGTGGCCGACCCCTCCCACCCTGGACACAAACTGTTCGCCCCCCTCCCCTCTGGCAGGAGGCTGCGCTCCATCAGGACCAAAACCTCTCGCCACCTGAACAGTTTCTTCCCCTCCGCTACCAGCCTCTTAAACAAGGCCCGGCCCCCCCGCTGACACTTTACCTCTGCCACATCATAGACTATATGCATTACATTAATGCACACAATGTCATACTCCTTTCTGCACATATTCTGATTTCACATTTCATAGTTTATATGCAAAAATTCATTCATAGCATTCTATTTCCATGTAAATTACTGCTTTATTTAATTTTTATTTTATTGCTATTTAACTGTATTTTATTACGGTGTAAAAGATTTTGTGTTTTATATTAGATTTCTTATTTTTTATATTTTATGTATGCACCATGACATCAAGTCAAATTCCTAGTACGTGCGAACCTACCTGGCAATAAACCTGTTTCTGATTCTGATTCTGATTCTGATTCTGATGTGATGTTTTTATTGATATTTTCCTGGGGAAGACCAAACAATGGTCCTGCCTCTTATGAAATGTAGTTTATTTTGAAGCTGCAGGGTTAAAAGGCCTCACCTCGTGCAGCTGGGCGATGTCGGCCTCCATGGCCTTGGTTCTGCGCTCAGACTCTCTGGCTGAAGACAGCACCTCCTTCTGGGCCACACGAGAGTCCTCCAGTTCCCTCTGGATATCCTTCACCTGGCCCTGAGAGGAGAGCAGAGGATGTCAGGTTTTACATATATATGACTCTTACAGTAACGCTTAGTAACTCAATCAAAATAAGGAATTACAGGATGCAGTTTGATTGTTGCTCATCAATAGGAAGATATTGAAAAATGAAAAGTGTGTGCTGACCTGGATCTTGCGGAGCTGCTTGACGGCCTCGTCGCGGGCCCTGCTGGAGGCCTCCAGCTGGTCCTCCATGTCCTTCAGCTCCCCCTCCAGCTTCTTCTTGCTGCCTGAGGCCTGGCCGCGCTGCTTCCTCTCCTCCTCCAGCTCCGACTCCAGCTCTCGCACCTGATGCAGCAACAGAGGGACACAGTTACAAAGTCCGGTGTTGAAATTAATATAGCATTAGAATGAGAATCAGAATCAAGTTTATTGCCAGGTACGTTTAGACATACAAGGAATTTGCGCTGGTATCTGGTGGTGCGAACATAAACAATCTAATAAAAATAAGGTGCAATAGTAGGTAAAACATTTTTTAAAACAATTTAGCAGGCTAAGGTTCCACCAGGACCTGCAGGGAGTGTAACATCTTCCCGTCCTGCAGCATGCTCACATCTCACAGCAGCTCCTTTGTACTCCACCTGTTTGACGAGCTGCTTCCTCTTCTCCTCGCCCAGCTCATCGCGGCCGTGCAGCTCCCTCTCATGCTGCACCCTCAGAGCCTGGATGTTGACCTCAAGACGCAGCTTGGCGTCCTCGGCGACCTGCAGCTCGTCCTCCAGCTCGTCCATCTGCATCCTCATCTCGTCCGCCATGGCCTCCAGGCCGCGCTTCGCCTTCTCCAGGTCGTGGACCTGAGGCAGGACGGAGAGAAGTCAACGTCAGAAACAAAGAGAAGTGTATTCATGTTCTGATGTTCACTCTTAAGCTCTTTCCAACATAGTCTTAAAAACTCCATATTTAATTAATACGTTAATGCAATATTTGTTATTATATATATTTTTGGATTTTATCAATTATTTATAAAATGTTTGAGACTTCAGAAAAATGTATTTAAAATATTTTATTACCAATGAAAATATATTTTTTGGCAAAAGAAATTCAAGGATTGAGCTCCCTTTTCACAAAAGAAAATGTGGGCATTATATACGTTTATAAATACGAGTAAGGAAGTGATTGTTGCTCATCGATTGTTGCTCATCAATAGGAACCCACAGAAAAAAATCATGCTGAAAAGGAGTAATTAATAAAATGTTATTTATTTTTCACTTCCTTTTTTAAATAACGCGTGAGTAATACATTTATTTATGATGTTTCTCTTACGCTCTTTCCCACGTCATCCTTGGAGCTGATGAGGTCCTCCATCTCGGCCTTCAGACCCTTGGTGGTCTTCTCTGCCTCCTCCAGAGCGTCCTGGCTGTCCTCCAGCGCCCGGGCCAGAGATAACAACCGCGTCTCCTTCTCCCTCACCTCCGCCTCCGCCCGATCACGCTCCTCAGCAAATTTACAAGACACGGCGCGCTCCTCTGCCAACATCTGAGGGGCACGAGGAGGAAAGAGACACGTTTTATGGAATCTTTCACCAGAATTCCTACAGCTTAAAGTGGACCTATCATGCTATATTTGAATAATATAGTGTAGGACCATACCTATATAAGGCATATTTATATATATTTTTTTCAAAATACCAAACAGATCATGCATTTTAGCCATGCCTCATTTTGCTCAATTTGACATTTTTTAGATCTGTTTTAGCAAGGGCTGATTCTGTGAGAACAGCACCATCTACAGGCCTGGCATATGTACTACAGCGTCTCCAGCGCTTTCGAACGGCAATGGCCGTGGCTGTCTCCTCCTGATTGGTGGAGTTGGCCCAATAGCCGTAGCGCCACCGTCCTGACGTCAGGACAGTGTTCAAATCTGGATCAGTTTTTATCAGATCCGTTGCAGCCCCTTTTTTAGAGATTTGGGTATGGAGGAAAATAGAGAGAGTTGTGTTTTCTGACACTTGGTGAGTTCCCTGGAACACCGGGGACACATATTCATGTATAAAAGACGTACACAAGTGCATTTTGCATGATAGGTCCCCTTTAAGCAAAGTTCAATTTGAAAATACATTTAGGATCTTTTTTTTGTGCTTTTTGCTTAATGCGAAAGGCTTCTGGTTCTTTATTAATACATACAAAAATCATAATATTTTGTTTACATTAAATATTTAATTTTTTTAATGCAAAGTAAGAAAAAATAACTATTCAGAAAATCCTACTACTCATCTTTTAGAATTACTTGTGTGAAAACAATACATTTCAATTAGGGTCGTCACATTATACCCATATGCACAATAATCATGATTATATTGTGTAAAATAATCCAACACACAGACACAAAGTTAAATAATGACTAAAAGGGACTAGAGTGTAATATTAATTTCTTATTGATAGAGATTATATTGAGGATTCTGTCGTGATTAATAATTGTGTAAATAATAATTATAACGTTTCTATATCCCTATGACATATTAGATCAAACAACTTTATTTCTCTTTCACAGCACAGTAACTCTTATTCCTGTTTTTTGTATGCCGTCTTATTTTATTTCAGATTGCTTTTTATATTTGTGCTGGCTTTAATGGCAATAATATACAATGTGTTTTATTTATCATGTTTTTCATGTTTTTGTAAAGCACATTGAAAGACCTTGCTGTTGAAATGGGCCATATAAGTAGCCTTGCCTCAGCTATGAAAAACAATAAAGTTATATTTATTTTTTAAACACCTGGTCGAACTTCTTCTGCCTCTTCTCCAGGTTGGAGACGAGCTGCCGCTGTCCGTCCAGGTCCATGAGCACGTCCTCCAGCTCCTGCTGCATGCGGCTGCGACTCTTCTCCAGCTTATCGTAGGCCGCCGCCTTCTCCTCGTACTCGCTGTTGGCCGCCTCGAGGTCGCGCTGCAGACGCTTCTTCCCCTCCTCCAGCATCTCCACCGCCCCCGACGCCTCCTCCAGCTTCTTCTTGTAGTCTGACAGCTGACAGGAGGAGAAGGGGGAGAGAAAACTTGAAAAAAGGCCATTTACATTTCTTCAGTTGTAACATTCAATGTAGCCAAGTACAACAAAAAAAGAAGCTTAAAGGTAAAACAAACTGGTTTTTGAGAGATTGTAAGAAAATGTATTGGCATCTATAAAGTTGATTTTTTATTTATTTTTAATAATTTGTTTGGGTGTTATTTTAAATGTATTACTTTAACTACATTTTACTGATTTAATATACTTAATTACTTTTAGTTATGATATATTTTCAATGCATGACTTTGACTTGTAACAGTATTTTCTCTGTACTCTCCTCACCGACAGTTAGACAGTCACTGACCTGCATGCTGAGGCTGGAGAGCTGCCTCTCCACGGCCCTCTTGCCCTCCATCTCCTCCTCCAGCTGCTCCATCAGGCTGTTCCTGTCCTCCTCCATCTGACGCAGACGCCCCGACACATTCAGCTTCTGACGGGTCTCCTCCGACAGCAGCTCCTGCAGGAGAAGGAGGGGGAATATAGGGTGGGGAAAGGTGTCAACAACTTTTTCTCCAAAATTATCTAAATAAAAAAACACGTACAACGCGGACTATACTTTTTGAAAAATATCTATTGTGACAACTTCATATAAATAAGACCACTCCCATTTAAGAGACAAGAAATTCCCCACTTGTACTGTAAACCCCCCACCTGTGCGTCCTGCAGCTGGGAGGACAGACTGGAGACGTCTTTGCTCAGCTTGATGTTCTTCCCCTCCGCATCGTTCAGCAGACCGGTCACACCGTCCAGCTCCATCTGACGGAGGCCGAGCAAACGAGAAGATAGGCAATCTTAAATAATAATAATAATAACGTGGACTTATATAGCGCCTTTTTAAAAACGCAAGGACGCTTTACAATAGGAAGAGGGAATGTGGGGGGACACAACAATGAAAACAGGGCAGAGAAAATAAGAAGATAAATAAAGTCTCTAATATACGGTTTTGTCTTTCTCTGTCCACATTATAAATCATTCTCGCAGCGGTAAAACCAGGACTAACTCCTGCTTGAAATGACCCATTTTATGTAGATCTTTTACAAAAGCAAATACAAGATCACACTAAAACAGACAAAAGAACAAAGTCAAATCAATGCATCCTGCTTAACACTTAAATGCACTTAGATCAGCAGATCTTCAAACAAACATGAATCAAACAAAAAATGATAATATATATACAAATAAAGGCTTAATATGATCACCTTATAATCTCTACACTAAATGTTCTTTTCAAATGTAACTAATGAACAAAACAACCTAAACTTCATAAACTTTGTCCAACTTTTCAAATCATTTTAGAATTTTGAAATTGACTTGCAATACATCCTTTTAAAAAAACAGTAGAACTAATTAATAATATAACCGTCTATCTCAGTCGGCCAAATATAACAGAAATCTCTTGGAAACAGCAAGAACAATAAAGAAATATTTATTTGTTGTTTAATTTCTAGTGATATACTCCATTGTTTATTTATTGATCTCACAGTCATCTTGGAGACCCGCTCCCCCAGCTCGGTCCTCTGCCGCTCGCTCTCGCTGAAGCGTCCGTTCAGGTCGCTGAGCTGCGCCTCCACCTTCTTCTTCTTGTGCTCCACGTCCTGCTTGGAGCTGCCCAGGGAGCGCAGGTCAGCGCTGAGGTCCGCCTGCTCCTTCTCCAGAGCCTGCTTCGCCTTCTCCAGACCCGCTCTCACCTGGGGGCAGAGAGGGGGGGGGGGGTTCATGACACACTGCTCCTCCCTAAATATATCTTTATTGATTAAAAGGAAGCAGGCCTGAGAAAGTAATTCAAACCACCTTCGTCTAATATCCTTATCTTTCATTACTTCATTATTTATTTCAGTCATAACGTGTGTTTATATTGCTACTTTCATGAACGCATTCTCCATAAAAAAGTTTAAACTACACCAGGTGAACTGTAAAATATAGTTCATGTGGAAATACAGGGCCACATTTTAAGTATGTCTAAACTAGACGTGAGAAAATATTTTGTAATTAATGCAATTTGAGTAAACTGACCCTTTAATATCAGAGCGAGGAAATGATGTGTCCCAGGTATGCATCAGTGTGTGTGTGTGTGTGTGTGTGTGTGTGTGTGTGTGTGTGTGTGTGTGTGTGTGTGTGTGTGTGTGTGTGTGTGTGTGTGTGTGTGTGTGTGTGTGTGTGTGTGTGTGTGTGTGCGTGTGTGTGTGAGTACCCTCTTGGCCTGCTCCAGCTGCTCGTTGAGCTCCTCCACAGCCTGGCTGTGTTTCTGTCGGAGGTCCTGGACCTGAGCCTCGTGGCCCCGGCCCTCGTCCTCCGTGGCTTTCTTCAGCAGGGCCACTTCCTGCTCACGCTTCGCCCTGTCAGGTACAAATACACACATATGACGTACAATAAACACACACACACACAACATCAACACTACACATCTGGGGTCACAGAGGTCTCTTTTTATGCAGATGAAACCCTTTTTTATTCTTCTGCACAATCTTAGAAAGAAGCTGTTTTTAACATTGTTTAACACAGATTTTAATATTTAACATTTGCTTTAAATGAAGTACCTTCACTGTTATCACCGTAAAGAGTGCAAGGATTAAGCTAGATTATTTATTTTATCTTAAACGTCCTAGGCCATTATACATGTAGACGTTGATGTACAGTAGATGTTGCCATTTTGTAAGTGTGGTTACAAACTTTGAAATGACACATATACCGTGATAGACGACTTTGACCACACAGTAGTAACCCCCCCCCCCGACCCCGAGTACCCACCGTAGCTCCTGCTGTGCGGCGGTGGTGTCCAGGCTGTCCTCCAGCTCGGTGCGGAGAGCGTTCAGCTCCTCTCCCAGATCCCTCCGGGCCGCCTCCACCTTCCCCCGGGCCCCCCTCTCCGCCTCCAGGTCCTCCTGCAGCTCTGAGAGAAGAGCCTCCAGCTCCCGGACTCGCTTCACCGCCGCGCCGCGCTGATTACACTCCTCCTCCAGCCTGGGGACACAGGCAAGGTTCTGATAACGTTTCTAATATCTTCACATCAAACTAAGTATTAAGGAGTTCTATGTAGAAACATCTCAGTAGAGTTGGCTGCTAAGACACACTAAGGGCTCATGTGCTCTGTGTTGTTTCTTGTGAACAGTTTTCTTTAAACATATGCTCACTCACTATGAGAGACCACACACATCCACGTACTAGAGATCTGCAGTGTCATAGAATATAGTTGTTTTGCATTAGTTGTCTCACTTATCACTCTGTTATTCTGGCCGTCAACTTCTATAAAAAGGTACCCAGCAGGTTTAGAGCAATATAAGCCTGAATTCAGGAGATCTTTGTGTCGGGAAAAGACTGTTACATTATCTTTACATATAAATAAACAGAATACAGTATTAACACCTGTTATAACTCCGGAATTCTCCCTTTTTTTAGCGCCCCTCCCAGGGTAATCTTTACATGTTTAGCTCCACTGCTGATTATTCTGTGTAACACCGTGTTGAACTGTTATCTGAACCTCCCCAGTTTACCGGGCCTGCGTGGCCTCCAGCTCCTCCTCCTTGGCGGCCAGCTGGGCTCGGAGCTCTGCCAGTTGGTTCTGCAGGTCGGCGTGCTGCTCCTGGAGGTCGGCCAGCTCCGCCTCCACCTTCCTCTTCGCCTTCTCCACGTCCTGACGGCCCTTCTCCTCCTTCTTCATACGCACTGCAGCAGAGAGAAGAACAGTGTCACAGACCTGTTCATTATACAAAAACTGATTTTTAAGGTCATCAAGTCTTGTGAGTCCCCTTATTTGTTTCAAATCACTGGTCCCCTAGAGTGGGGCACCTGAGAAGAAATTGGATTTTACAGCCTCGAAAATACAATGCAAGTTATCTTTTATAGGCTAAATCTCTCCTACAAAAATGGGATTTTAGCCTTTGCAGACCATTTCCGTGCACACAAAAATATATATAACACACTACAGGAAAGGAAACCCCCCCCAAAGGCATAATATGGGCCCTTTCTTTTCAGTACATGTACACAGACAAATGGCTTGGGATCAAAAAATACATATTTCTTTAGATGTAAATGTTTTTTTCATTTCCCTGGTAAAACCTTTATGATTGCTGGTGCCTTTATTGTGTTTGTGTCTGTTACTGTGTGCTTTCATCCATTCCGCTGTCTCTCTTAATCTCCTTTGGACTTTTCCATTTAACTGCAAAATAAAGCGCCGTTAAGGAATAGAGTATTGTGAGTGCTTTGCTGCCTCACCCTCCAGGTCTGAGATCATGGACTCATGCTTGGTTTTGAGTTTGGTCAGATTCTTGGACTTCTCCTCCTCCTCGGTCAGGTTGGAGTTCATGTCGGACATCCTCTCCTCCAGAAGCTTTCTCTCCTGAAAACACACAACAGTAAAGATTGTATTGTGCTATCTACCTAGCAAAATCTTCCAGATTGTTTGTACCTTCTGCAGCTTGTTGTTCTGGTCCTCCGTCACCAGAACGTCCTCCTCCAGTTTCTTCACTTTCCCCTCCACAGACGCTTTCTCCAGCTGCAGCTTCTGACAGGAGTCCTCCTGCTCCGCTATGTGGGCCTCCATCAGCTGCAGAGAAAACAGCGGGACAGTTTGGATGATGCCAAGTAGGTGTAAGCTTGGTTTAGAGAATTGGTCGATACATAGCATCAGAATAGCAGGATAAGAGCCACAAATGAATATTTTAAAAGCTTCACATTCATATTTCCTCATAGGACCGAACCTGGGGGGACAGAGCCTTCTCCGTCGCTGCCCCCTCCCTCTGGAACTCACTCCCCAAACACATCTGTAACTTCACCGATATTACCATGTGCAAATCACAAATAAAAACTCATCTTTTCAGAACTGCTTTTAATCTGGAATTTATGGTGTGTTTTATATTTTAATTTAAAGGGGACCTATCATGCAAAATGCACTTTTGTACGTCTTTTATACATGAATATGTGTCCCCGGTGTTCCAGGGAACTCACCAAGTGTCAGAAAACACAACCCTCTCTATTTTCCTCCATACCCAAATCTCTAAAAAAGGGGCTGCAACGGATCTGATAAAAACTGATCCAGATTTGAACACTGTCCTGACGTCAGGACAGTGGCGCTACGGCTATTGGGCCAACTCCACCAATCAGGAGGAGACAGCCACGGCCATTGCCGTTCAAAAGCGCTGGAGACGCTGTAGTACATATGCCAGGCCTGTAGGTGGTACTGTTCTCACTGAATCTGCCCTTGCAAAAACAGAGCTAACGTTTTTCAAATTGAGCGAAATGAGGCATGGCTAAAATGCATGATCTGTTTGGTATTTTGAAAAAAAAAAAGTATAAATATGCCTTATATAGGTATGGTCCTACACTATATTATTCAAATATAGCATGATAGGTCCACTTTAATTTTAAGTGTGTGTTGTTTTAATTATGTTTTTTTATGAACTTTTACTCTGAAAAGTGTCTGAGTTTCCAGAAAAGCGCTCTATAAATAAAATGCATTATTATTATTATTATTATTATGATTAATAAACACGTGTACAAATAAGAATATGAGAATTACTATGAGAAAATATGTCAAGTATATTTAGACAATAACATTTTGTAATTTCACAGTTTTTTTTTTAAACAATGATATATGTCTTTCTTTCTTTTAGTTTATCAGAATTGTTATGAGTATGATTATTAATATAATATATTAATTTTATATTATATTTGTATTGTTGTTGTTATTAATATTGTTGTTATTATTATTATTATTATTATTATAATAGTGCTGTGCCCCCACCTGCAGCTGCTGCTCCGTCTCCTTCCTCTCCTGCGTCAGGGCGTGGCTGCGGTCCTCCTCCTCCTCCAGCCGGGCCTCCATCTCGTGCAGCACCTCCTCCAGCTCCTGCTTCTTGGTCTCCAGCCGCACCTTCATCTCCTCCGCCTCGGCGTATAGCTCCGTCTCCGCCTGGAGCTTCGTCTCCAGCAGGGTGCGCTCCTCCATCAGCTACAAACACACACTTCAGTCACTTCAGGATCTTCTAAGGTTCCAATCTAATGTAAATAAAACGATGTTCTCTCACCTGGGTGTGTTTCTGCGAGATGTCTTTCAGCTCCGCCTCAGACTTCAACGCCACCTCCTTCGCCGACTTGAGCTCCTCATCCTTCTGACCCATCTCCTCTTCCTGTCTGGTGACCTGCAGCAGGGGCTTCACCTGGAACACACACACACACACACACACACACACACACACACACACACACACACACACACACACACACACACACACACACACACACACACACACACACACACACACACACACACACACACACACACACACACACACACACACACACACAGAGCCATTTACATTTTGAATATACACCTCATGGTTTTCTTGCAGTCTCTTCTGAAATCATACTTTTATTGTAAAGCGTTTTATTGTTTTTGTATTTCTTGTTAATGACTTTAAATTTGTAATTGTTCTCTTCACGCAGGCCGATTACTTATTATTTTTATTGTCATACATTGATATATTATATTTCTGAAATAAAAACAGGGATAATGATTAATGGAGAATACCTCTTTGTTAATCTTATATCTTAAACACTTCTAAAAATGACAAAACGTTGTTCTGATAATGTCAGTAAAAGGTGTGTAACCTTGGTGAAGAGCCTCCACCACTGCCAGTTCTTCAGTTTGAGGTAACAGGCGCAGTTTCTCTGGATCACCTTCATCGCTGTCAGCTGCTGCTGCCGTTTATTGAACGCTCTGAAAACACACAAATAAATAATATGATGTGAGCTGCAAAAGGTTGAAGATTTATTCAGAATTCAGCAAAAATGGCCAAATAACTAAGCAATTTTGATCAGGTTAATTTAAGATGTTATTACTTAATACATTTTCAGATTATTATTTCAATATTAGATGCTACACATCCGAATATGCAGAGTAACACAAGTTGTCTGATAGCTGTAAATGAAAAGTGTAGTAGTGACACAAAATTGAAATACTCAAGCATAAGTACCTCAGATTTATTTTATATTTAATAAGTACTTAGTTCCTTAATCCAAATCCTTTGCACATACCTCTGACAATTTTGCACAACACTTTAATTTTTAAACCTGCAGAGCAATTAACTTTGTATTGACATATACTGTACATCATTGTTAATGTTAAGGTTTTCACCAATACTCTCAAATAAATTCCTTGTATGTGAAAGTGTAGTGTCTCAATATGTTTCTCTTACTTGCGGGCCAGGAAGCCTCGTGCTTGTGCCTGGAAAGCGATGATGACGACGGTCAGTTTGAGGTCGCGCTCCTCCTCCAGCTGGGCCAGCACTCCGGTCCTGAAGAACATCTTACTCTGCCCGATGCGGAACAGGTTGGGGTCCAGGTCCAGGTGCTTCACCTGCAGGAGGAGAGGAGAGGGAGGACAGGGGAATAACTGCTTATTATACCTCCTAATTCAGCTAAATCCATATTCAAAAGACCTGCACAGGAGCTGTTAATGTGGACATCCTCTGACTTTCATTTTAACACTGAATGTATGCATAAAAAGAAAAAGCATTAATAATACAAAACGTACCATCAGACAGCACGCCTGCTTCCCGTCCATGAAGCCTTTTGGGATGGCGCTGGCAGCCAGAATCTCATATCTGCAAACAGAGAAACACATTTGTTTTCATTTTGCCGTGACATTTATTAATTAAAAAAAGTAAAAACACTTTTTGTGGACCCTGTTGCAGTTTGGAAAAATTCTCAATTGATGCTTTTGGTTATTTTATTTTTTTAATTGGAAAATGTGTACATCTGTGTTTTCCTCCAGTGGTCTAAGTGAGGAAGTGCAAAACCATGTTTAAATGAATAGACAAACTCTTTTTCCATCAGGATGTCTGCTCTGCATACTATCTTTACAAATGTAATGCTTACTGTAGGGTGTAGTAAGGGTGTTGTTTATACTATTATTCACATTTCTATTAACATTAGCACACACATAATATAGTTATGGAACCTCCAAAGAACACTAACAGTGAGTGGTCTGCTCACCGCTGTCTGAACTCCTGGAACACGATGCGGTTGGGGAAGCCCTGCCTGCAGATGCGGATGCCCTCCAGCACGCCGTTACAGCGGAGCTGCTCCAGCACCAGGTTGGAGTCCATCTTCCCCGCCTGCAACAGCAGCAGCACACTCAGTCAACACACCGCAGCTTTAGCTCAAATACAATCATTGTTCGGGGTGTATATAGGGAGATATAACGTAGCATGTCACCTCAACTCGTATGCATCACTAGGGACCTATTGTGCTTTCTAATTATTATTTTTTCAATCCTACTTTCTTATACAAATGGAATTGCAACTTGGCTTAAATGTTTTTGTTTTCTACTAAGTTTTTTCATTAACATGCTATCTTACTGGTTCCAGGCACAACAATACATTCTGGAAATACATTTGGTAGCTATGATTGGATGATAGGACTGAATTATTTAAAAGACTTATCTAAGTGAAAAGTCAGTCTTTTGATGCTGATATTTCTGTCCTCCGAGGACCTCTGATCAACTTTTTCAAGCTTCACATTTAACTTCCTTGTAGATATAAAAAATGTGATTAATCAAAACATAGCTTTATAAAGGTTTGAAGCTTCCTACCCTCTTCTCGTGGTTGGGGATGATGCAGCGGACGAAGTTGGGCTGCGTGTTGTGCAGCGTGGCCATCAGTTTCCCCAGAGACTCCTTGTACAGCTGACCCACCGTGCGAAACATCCCCTTCTTAGATTTAGTGGGAGCTGAGCTCTCCGACATCTTGGTCATCGTCTCCAGTCCCACCACACGGTCCACTGACGGCAACAAATACATACTGGTTTTATACCGATTTTTAACTCATAACTGAGCTATATTTACTAATGAAATGATTATTTGAGGGTTAAAAACGGGTGCTTTGTTGATTATTGTAGGTTTTATTACAGCTCTTATGTGATGTAAGATGACTTTGAGTGTCATCGCATGTTATTACTATTTCTTTCGATACCAACCATCTTTCCAGAGGTCCTGGATGAAGTTGCTGGAGGAGACTTTGAGCAGCGCCGTCACGTTGTCGTTCAGAGGGTCCATGTTCTTAGTCAGCCAGCTGGCTGCGTTATACTCAACCTTCAAACATAATGGCAGAGCGTTGATGGTGATCAGGATGCGGTTCATCTCTATTTTTCAACACATTTCATGAGGAATACCTCAGCTACAAAACCAATTACTGTTGAGAATAAAGTCCAAATAAGGGTTTAAAAATTCATGTTTTGTCACAATCTATCCAAAAGTTGTCTAGAAATAAAATATATTTCTAGACAACCAATATACCTGATGCAAAATGTCATGAAAACGTTACTTTATGGAGAAAAAGAAACACTTAATGCAGTGTGGCTCATTGATGTGTTTTTAATAGTTTATAGCTTTGTGGCGCAGAGAAGGAAGTTCTATAGGGATAGTAATATACTATTTTTTGACAAAAAGGAAAAGTTGTCAGGTTTTTTGTCTGAAAGGCCCTCACATTGCCGGCGTAGTGCATGACAGTAAATATCAGTTTGTCTTTGTGTTGTTTGGGTTTGGAGAACTTGACGTGGCCGGTGTGTGTGTTCAGCAGCTTCTCCACGAAGGAGACGTCGGTGGCTTTGGGGAACCAGCACTCCTCGTCCAGCAGGGCCAGGATACCGGGGGGGTTGTTCTGCAGGACAGAGACACACACAGAGGCTTAGCTTAGGAAACATCTTATCTTTGTTTCTGTTGGGTTTTAGGTAAGGACCGGTGACTGACCGCCCTCTCGATGAGCTCGATGCAGGGCTGCAGGTCCAGTCCGAAGTCGATGAAGTTCCACTCGATGCCCTCCCTCTTGTACTCCTCCTGCTCCAGCACGAACATGGTGTGGTTGAAGAGCTGCTGCAGCCGCTCGTTGGTGTAGTTGATGCACAGCTGCTCGAAGGAGTTGTCCTGAGGCGCAGAAACATTACAGTGGTTAGGAAACAGTGTGAATACTACCAGTGGTAGTAAGTAATCCAACAATGACAAAAGTATGTCAATGTATGTTTTCATTAGGGGTGGGGCAAATAATCGATACAGCATAGTATCGCGATACTGTGCGTGGCGATATTGTATCGATACACGGACGCCAAGTATCGATATTTTATTATATAAATATATGTATATATGTTTCATATTGAAAATCCAAATGAAAGTTTTTGGTAACAATTGCTTGTTCAATCCACTGGTGCTGAGCTTTTTCTTGTGCGGTCATGGCCATGGGTAAAGTCAGTGGGATTAGCGCAGGAAGTTAGTCAAAACAAAGATGGAGTCAGCGAGGAAAGAAACCAGAAATGCGCCGGTCGCATTTAAATCAAAAGGTGTGGAATTATTTTGGATTTTTTAACCAGGAAGGGAAGACGCAATCGCAATATATCGCAATAGAGTGGCGAAGTCCCTCCCCTTCCGGTGGACCTCCATGGGACCTTATTTCGGAAAAATTATGTATTGAAGTCAATGGAGAGAGAAAGATTATCTTTCGATCCCGTTTGAATTGTGCCACGAATTACACATATGATGTTTGTCAATTTAAAAGATAATTTTGCAAGTCAAAAAAAAAAAATGTGTCGTAAAACTGTGAAGTAACACATTTGTTTGTGTGAAACGCTCAATGAACTACATCTCTGGTCAACAACACACGTCACCAAGATGGCCGTCACTACTGTCTTGTCAACAAAACGATTGACTACCCTCACTATCACCACAATGAAACACGTCCTGAAGAAAGTCATGCAAAGCTGCCTGCCTGCCTTCCTTTGATTCTCTCTGAACTGCCTGGTCGTTTTAATGTTTAATGTCAACCATTTGTGCAGATAGCATGAAGTAGAGAAGATTGCCGATGCTAACGTTAGCGTTAGCATTTCTCCCCCGGGCTTAAATGGTGTATTATAGAATGATCACACCGGTGACAGTACTATTCAAAGGGTTCACGAAATATGACTACTACTCTTACTGTTTAACATTTTGGGTTACTTAATGTTACTTCATGTTAAGGCTAATAAAAATGACAAGGCTGTAATGCTAACTAACGTGCTAGCTACTAGCTAGGTAGCTAACTTGATCAAGCCACTCCTGGTCCTTTCATCAGATGGGAAGCAAAAGAACGAGCAAGACCCATTGCTGGTATAATAACAACCTGGTACTAAGCACACAGGCATCTTGTGAAAGTTATCTTATCTTAGCCAGCGTCATATAGATAGATTCTATCTATATTGCGCTGATCTTAGGTATCTGAATGGTGGAGGAAACATCACTTACGCGACTCTGGGATTTGTAGTCTTTCTAGTTACGTATTTTTCATAGTCTTATATTTCAACAGTTTTACGACAAACTGTGACTTTTTTGACATGGAAATGATTTTTTAAGATTGACAAACATCATATGTGTAATTCATGGCACAATTCAAACGGGATCGAAAGATAAGTTTTCTCTCCCCATTGACTTCAATGCATAATTTTTCCGAAATAAGGTCCCATTACCCGGAAGTAGGTGGGCGTGACTTCGCCACTCTATATATCGCAATATATCGCAATATATCGTATCGCAATACTAAGCAAATCGTAGAATCGCAATACTATTGTATCGTGGCTTAAGTATCGCGATAGTATCGTATCGTGGGGAGCCTGGTGATTCCCACCCCTAGTTTTCATAAAGCGTTCACCTCAAAGATCTCAAAGCCAGCGATGTCCAGGATGCCGAGGAAGGAGGACGACTGCCTCTTGCTCTTGTTCAGAGTCTTGTTCACTCTCGCCAGGATCCAACGGAACAGACGCTCGTACATCGCCTTAGCCAGAGCCTCCACCGCAAAGTCAGCCTGAGGAGGAGGAGGAGGGGGAGGAAGAAGAGGGAATGCAGAAGGATGGACATCTTTTCATTTCACCCAGAACTTAAAAAAGTTAAGACCTATTTTTATGCAGAAATTACCACTGTCGGGAAATGTGTGACATTTATCCAAGAGGCTTTTTGAAGTACCAATTATGTCTAGAATTTGCAATGCAACATCAGAAAAAACAGGATTACAAAAATCATACTTTCCGTTTCTTATCATTTCTTTAGAATTTTTAAATATTGATTTTTGAATAATTGTTTGTATATTTGTGTTGCTCCAACATTGACCCTTTAATACTCAAGAAATATTTCATTCATGTCTTTAATTTTTTGAGAGTAAGTGCATATTTGCCCAGTTTTGCCACATGAGATTTTCATAAACTAAAAAAGAAAATATTACAAATGTACCTTGAAATCATATTTGAGTTTTAATGGCGTCAGTTTTTCCATTACCTGCTGCTTAGTCTGCGCCTTCTGCACCACCTCGCGGCCCACCTTGATGCGGGGGTTGAGGATGGCGCGGGTGAAGTCGGTGATGTTGATGCCCTGCAGGTGACACAGCTTCTGTGCAGCTGGGGTTGATGGGTAACAGAAAGTTGGGAAGAAGAAAAAGTCAGAGACGTTTGAAACATACATTTACCAACAGTGCTGGTGGTGTTTTTAAAAAGGTTACCGGTGTCGTCGGACATGGTGGCCTGCTCGCTGCTCCTGTCCTTCTCAAACTTGACGTTGCCCAGCTGGAGCACGGTGGACACCACCTTCATCATCCCTGCAGGAGGAGGGACATCAATACGGTGCAGGAATTTACAGAAATGTTAAAGATGTCCAAAAACAGTTTCCGCCTCATTCAAGTAATGAGATTACAATTTGATAGCTGGTAAATCCAGTGGAGAAATGTAACTAAATACATTTACTCAAGTACTGTACTGAAGTTCTATTTTGACATGATTGTACTTTACTTGAGTATATTTAGTTTAGGCTACTTTTATTCCACTACATTTCAGGGAATATTGTGTATTTTATAGAACACATCTATTCATCATTCATAGTTTGTTACATATAAAACGCTTTAGGATATGGTGCAGTGCGGTACTGTACTGTACTACTAATTTACCTGGTGTTTTACATAGTATCTCAAATGTCTCCACATTAACTCAATTCAAGATTAAAAGGCTTTTCAATTCAGTGATAATACTGTAACAGTATAATATAGTATTCTATAATAATATATAACTGTGAATTGTTTGAATACTGAGTACTTTTAGCTCATAATACCTCTGTACCTTCACTTAAGGATCTTTTTTTATTTCAGGACTTAACTTGTAATGGAATATTAACACCATTTTCTTCCTGCTTTTACTAAAGGAGGATCTGAGTACTTATTCCTCTGTCTGATCTTTTTTGTAAGATCTGTTCCTAGAGAGAAATGGTGTATTGTTGGAGTTTTGCAGAGCCCTCTGTACCTATCCTCTCCTCCTCGGTGAAGCCCATGATCTCCATGGCCTCCAGAGTCTCCAGAAACATCTCGTCGTCCTCCTGACCCGGGATCTCCACGTGTCCCGCCACCAGGAAGCGGTAGGCGCTGAAGTCCTCCAGCAGGAGCTCCTCTGCACACACAAACGCATGCACACACATTATAATATTTACATTTGAATCTATTAGAAACTGAACTCTTGGATCCGTGTGTGAGAAATGAAAGTGACATTCAGTAGGATCAATGGATAATAAATACAAACAATTATTCTTAAAATGTATAATTATGAATGTATTGATGATGCAAATAAATGCTTAACTGAAAAATAAAGTACCATTGTTTTAAGAACTGCTGGCCCCAGTGAAGCCCAAAAGTCTTCAATATTAAATACATAAGCAATTGAATAATAATGTAAATGAATTATATTAAATGTATAAATGAAACAACTTGTAAAACTATCCTTTTTTGTTATTACTTTTATTTTATTATTTCCAAAAGTTATTTTGACTATTCTTGTCTTCATAAAAACAGCTATTTCTTTAATTAATGAGATTATTGTTTATTTATTTTTTACAAAAATGCACATTTTTTATTCTTCTTATTTTAAATGATTTTTCATGAAATTCAAAAGATATTGAGAGGAACACATATTAAAAAAACGGAACAACATCTGTCTCTTTAATAGGGGTTTAATGTTTTATTATAGCATATGCTTATTAATCTTTATTATTTCCCACTTTAGCTGCTTGGTGTTTTTCTTTGTTGTTTACTCTAAGTTACTCTGACTAATTGCCACATTAATAAAGTATGGATTTTGAATAAAAGCTGTATTATAATTTTTTTTAAAGGTAAATAATGAACTGTTAAATGTCACAGTGAAAACCCCTCTCACCTTTCAGCTTGTCTTTGGCCCCGGCCACCAGGTAGTAGAAGATGTGAAAGGCTCTCTCTGTGTTCCCCTGCCGGATACAGCGAGACTTCTCCAGCAGGTCTGATCTGGTTAAAAGAATAACCAGGGCTGGCAAAAATAACACTTTGTATCTATTTCTTTCCAATTCATATATTAACAAACTAAAGGATACAGGTTTCAATGTTGGCCCCAACAATATATCCGGTCACATCGAAGTTGAGCTTGATGAACTTTCCCTGTGGACAGAGGACAGTTATGATATTAGGATTCCTTATTTTAAGGACCACGCATAAGATCATTCATCTCATAAAAGGGTGATTCATGCCATAAACTGCACATTTCCATCTGCAGAGAGTGAGTTACATGGCGCCATAAATCACTGAGTACATTTCTTTTTTAACGCTGTTATTGAGTGTTTTTTCCAATAAGGGATTTATTAACTTACAAATCGTGAGGAGTTATCGTTCTTGATGGTTTTTGCGTTTCCGAACGCCTCCAGGATGGGGTTGGCCTGCAGCAGCTGCTTCTCCAGCTCCCCCTGCAGCACAGAACACATTTGTACACTAGTACATTTAATTAAGTACTTCACTTTCCATTTGAAACTTAAAACAGAGTATAAAATCACTAATAAATAATGATATAATATTATAATTAAACAACACAGAAGTAAATAGTTATTTTAAGCTGTAGTTGGTAACATTAAAACATTCAAAATCCGTTAATGCAATAATACTTTTACTTGTGGTATCTTTTGTGCATTTAGATGCTGATACTTAAGACTGTCAATGCAGGTAAGCCCTGCATAGACAGTCCTAATTATGTACCTGCATTACTTCTTTAACTTGAATTAAAATATATAAATATTTCTATACTGCATATATAATATATCTCTTCATTATTGTGAACAGAATTTCAACTATTTGTCATGTAAAAGTGTGAATTGTTATACTCACGTAGGCCAGAGATCCAGCCTGCGGCTGCTGTGGCTGCTGAAGCAGGAAACAAAACAACAAAAAACTGGTCAGAAACTTTATTTATCTTCATTTAAAAAGCTACATTCCCTAAAAAGTGTCTGCTTAGGGTCTCAAATGAATGAATGATGATAAACAAACCACAGATAGGATCATACGCAGCTGAGAGAACAGAAGCTATGACTTTTAATCAGAGTTATGGAGGATGTGTAAGAAAAATCTATTTTTTGTTATAATAGTAACCAGATTTTTTCGAAAGATTTCTAAATTGAGGCATTCTTCATGAAGCAAACCAACATTTTCAAGTGTTTCCAGTAAAGTAACTAAGTATAGTACTTCCGGTAAAACATTTTTAGTATTTAACAATAGTTAACAGAATTTCCAACATTAAAAGGCTGCATTTAAAAATAAAATGCATTGGAAATATCATTTAGCATTCACTCTTATACCCCTCGAAGTGTACATTAATCAGATTGAGAACTCTTAGCAGTTACCTCTGGGTATTAACATGTTGTGTGCCTGCCACTGCCCTTTCGCAACATTTGGCAAACGTTTAAAAAAAAAAAATGCGGCTGGGGAAGATTGTCGCTTGGCAGAAAATTAAGATATTTATTAAAATATTTTGGAGATAATGTATCTCACTATAAGACACATTTTTTATAAAGAGTTACTTTTTTTGTTCTTATAAATTATATTCTGATATATTCAACTTGTATTTGTTATTAGATGTGTTAAGTCAGTGTTTAGTTTCCATGTAGATTCATTTTCTTCTGGAGGAATCAGCACTCACAGGATTGGCGTCCTTCTTGCCTTTGTGCGAGGATGCGACCACAGCCAGGTACTGGATCACCTTCTTGGTGTTTTCTGTCTTCCCCGCTCCAGACTCACCTCTGGGGAACAGACAGAGGGGATGGGGGGGGGGGGATATTATTATTATATTAGAGGGCAGATGATATATTAAATGAGAGTTTAAAATGGAGACCAAATAAATACTGTTAATTGAAGCAGGGTATTTTTAAAGATGATATTTTGTGACAATATAAAGTTCCTGAACATTTGATTAGGGATGCAACAAGTAGATGCTCAATCAATAGTTTATTGACTTAAACATGTTATTGTCTTCCATTATAGTAAACTGATTATTTTGGGGATTTTTAAATCTTTTTCCCGTAACAAAAGAAGAATTTTCACAATTTAAAGCCTTTTATTAATAATATTAGCTGGCATTTTAAAGCCTTACGAACTAGGGTGGGTCCCTGGCCATTCTTGAGTTTGTGTGCTATTTTACTTCCACACCATGTCGTCTTTCTGACAAGTGGAAAGGAACATTCCAAAACACACATGCAGGTGTTTATATTTCTAACTTTGTGTTTTTGTTTCTGTATGGTTGTTTGCCTAAATTCACCAGGTAAGCAAAAGCAAAACTTGTAACACAAAAGAGCTGTTGTTATACTGTATGGGTAATCAACCGGGTAAACTTCATGGTGATAGTTAGTCGTTTTCCCTTCATTGATGAATATAGCAAACTAACATGTGGGACTTTGGAACTGGAGTGTATTAGCATGTTTGCTTTACGATCAATTGATTTTGGGAATTGTTGCCTTTAATTCTGTCTAAAAAACTGTTTAATTAATCATCTCGTTCTTTTGGCGATTATCTCGATGAATTCCTTTGAGAAATAAATTATAATCTAATTGAAAAAAAAAGGCTTTCACATGAATTGGTAATGATGCTAACCGTTAGTTGCAGCCTTACATAAACCTGAACATACATCCATACAAAATAAGTCACATGGGGACTTGCTTCCCTTTTGGGGACAGAATCTAAATCCCAAAACATAAACAGGAACATGTATTCCAGGAAATGACTATAAGTCACTGCCCTTTTAATTGATAGACACTGTGTGTGCTCACATGCATGGTGCAGTGGGATGGAAAATGGTTTAGTGTGTTTTGACTCACGTGCAGAGAATAGACTGATCCTCACGGTCTGTGGGGGGAGAGAAAGACAGAGGGTGGAGAGGGATGTAAGAGGGGGAAGTAATGTGAAATGTTGACTGAGCTGAACTCATTAGTGGAAGCCGGGGTGAACACACCAAACATGAACTCTGAAGGCGGTGCTTCTTCACTCGGACACGAGAGCAAACAGCTCGGAAATCTCGTTCTGAGGGAGATTAGCCTCCATCACTCATATGGTCTAAAAATAGCAGGTGGATGCGGGGCTCCATCGCTGTAATCTGGTCTGCCTGCTCCATGTATGGCTATTCTGGGGCTGAGTGGAAACTACGCAGTTGGTCTGAGGTCAGCGGTGGACCATGAGGCGGCACGCTCCGGGGCTCCAGGCAGGGCTGCTCTCTGCACCATTTCACTTTCATTAAGCAGCTTTCACTGGGCTATTGTGTCTGTGTGGTGAGGTACTCTAGGAAAAAACTCACTTAGGACGGTTGCATTGATAGTTTTCGAGGCATTTTGTGCTATGAATCAGCATTTTTTAAACATTACAAATTCTAAACGTGAGAAAATAGGGAATTAAAAGTTTCAACACAATAACAATGATGAAGAGGTTCGCATAAAAGTAATTAGAAATCAAACTGAGTGCAGTATTGCAGAACATGTTTAACATCTAAAGGGATACTCCAGCAATTTAGAATAGTTTTCTCTCACATAGAAAAGTGTGTTTTTGTTAGTTATAATATATACAGTGCCTAGGGAGTAGTGCGGGGGTCTAGTGCCTTACAGAAGGGCACTTCGGCATGTCTTAAAACACTTTGCCACACTCAATCTGGTCAGATCCGCTTCTTGAACCAATGAAAACCATCCCTTAAAGGTAAGCTTAAGTGGCTAGGGAAAACATTTAGGCTTTTTTTTCTCCCATTAGAAAGGACAAAATATTTGTTAATTGTTTTGTAATCGGTAAATGTACCCTTTGAATGTCAATATCATACATGGTTGTATCGATTCACAAAAGAGGTTTTGCTAAGTTTCACAAATCAAGGGTTATCATTCAGACACGAGCGTTGAAGGCGGGAATGCTGATGATATATACTGTATATATATATATATATATATATACAGTATATATATATGATTGATCACTGACACACACGCAGAGTTACCCTGCATCATGTTCCTGTAGGCGTTGTCTGTGATGGAGTAGATGTGCGGCGGCACCTCGTGGCGTTTCTTGCCCTTATACATCTCGATGATCTTCTCAGAGTAGATGGGCAGCATCTTGTAGGGGTTCACCACCACGCAGAACAGACCAGAGTATGTCTGCGGGAACAGAGAGGAAGTCACAACGTCAGAGCACTGATCATCTCTCTGGTTGTTAAAAGTGATAAACACACTCTGCTGAACAGATTGTCCTGGAACACTGTCCTCCTTATATCATGATTTTCCAAGAACATAGTAGGGACATGGTGTAATAGACACATCAAAAATGCTTTGTGTATTAATGTTAGTTTTAAGTTTCATATAAATAAATCCTCAGAACTTGTTTTCCTATACAATTATGTCAGCTTTATCTTGTTTGTTTCCTTTACTTTTAACCTCTCCATGGGCAGACATACATGCAAAAGGCTGCAGCATCTGTCCTACGAAGAAGCAAGGTACACATAATGTTGTACTCTAGTTGCTTTGTGTCTTTGTGGACTCTTTGTTCAGTCAAGGCCAGGGCGCCCTGGACCTGTGCCTCATAGGACTGTTCGGTAATCCATCAATCCACCAACACATTAAAGGACCGGGTGAAAGGTACAGTTATTTCAGTAGTTTGGCACTTTTCCTGCCTTCTCCTTCCTTGTTTAAAGGTGTCAGATTGCTGAGCCCCTCATTTGGCACGAGCAGGTTTTCCTAAAAATGTCTTGTTTTCTCTTTTCCTCTGGTGCCTTTTGTTTGTTTTGGTTTAATTGTGCCTTACGCAACAATACGTTAGCATATACAGTTGATATACTGGTACTAAGTATCTTTTGGGTTTTGGAAATTTTTCACAATTTTCTACAGAAAAGGAAATTTGTCAACAAATCAAAACATTTGCTTTAGATTAACTGAGAACAAAATTGAATCTCAGACCTACATCACATTTATTAATGCCAACTAAAATAAACCCAAATATATTCGCCGAAACATAAATAAATCATATATTTTAAACCTTAAAATCCCAAATGAATATTTTACACAAGCTTTTCTGACATACTGCACAGCCTCCAAAACTTTAATATCATGCAAAAAAAAACACATTAAAATGACTGCTTGCAGTTTGAATTCAAACCCTGCATCCTATTTGATTTGGAATCCAGGTTTAGGTGGTTCTCAATAATGTATTTACTTTACATTGTGGGATCACCTCTAAAATTCACAGTTCACAGTATAATATTGTTTTTGGCTGCTCAGGTTTGGCCTGCTCATATATGGAGCGGAGGGACTTCAGTTCCTAACCTGCAGTTATCTTCATGGCCGTCTGTATTAGATGCATCAGCGTGGCTTTTTTAATTTTACATCGCCCTACCTTATTAGACTTTGTAAGACTGAAAAAATAAAAAGCATAAGCCCTTGATCCTCTCAGTACATCCTGAGTCTATAGCGCCTGCACACAGTCCCTGAACAAGGACTTTTTCACCTAAAAGTGGAGTCTGTGTGGGTTTATAAGGAGAACAAAAGCAGTCGGTTACCTCTGGCTTAGGAAGCTTCTTTTTAGTCCTCATATTTAGGTTTTACAGGTAGATATAAAAGAGCTGCTTCTCTTTCTTTTTCCACAGAGATAACATCAGTTAGATTTGTATGTAACGTTCATTGTTTCACTTTTATCCAGAGAGGAGTCATCCTCAAGACATCAATACGGCACTATTGTTTAAGAAATGTTATTTGATTTCCCGTAACTCTGAGTTCATGCTTTTTTTTTTATGGAAAGTAATCCTTGGTTTCTTCATGTCATTTTTCCTTCTTCTTGCACATATGATTTATTTAATCCCCTATGATACATTTTAGGACAAACATTTTGAACTGGATTATACTATGAATATACTTTGAGTTTTGTATTTGCATTTATTGGCTCATCTTATCCTGCAAAATCGTGTATTTTTAATGTTGTATGTGCCTTGATAACTTTCTGACAATTATAAGTGTTTGTGTATGTGTGTGTGTGTGTGTGTGTGTGTGTGTGTGTGTGTGTGTGTGTGTGTGTGTGTGTGTGTGTGTGTGTGTGTGTGTGTGTGTGTGTGTGTGTGTGTGTGTGTGTGTGTGTGTGTGTGGCTCACATAGATGAGGCTGGAGAAGTATCTCTCCCGCAGGTTCTGGAGGACGGAGGCCTCGTTGAGGAAGGTGAGGGCGGCCATGTCCTCCGTCTTGCTGAACTTGGGCGGGTTCATCTTCTGGATGTCGTCTTTGTTCACCGTCACCTTCTGACCGTTAGAGAGCTGCACCACCACCTGCAGCCCAAAACACACCCAGGAATCAAAGCTTTGCCTGCCTCTGTGTTGTCGTTTAAGACCTTATTGTTTCCAACATTTTCCATAAAAACAGAATGTTCAAAATAAGAAAAAGATTAACACAAAAAAATCATGTCACAAGATGCAACTTCAGTGTTCAACAGATTCCGCTAATGTTTTTAATTAAATAAATGTTGTACCAACAGATTGAAAAAAAGAAATACAGATAAACACAAACAAAAAATATTTTTGGAAAGATATCAGATTTTTGCCAATGAACATTAAAACCTTGACTTTTGTTGTTGTTGTATGACCATTTCAACATTTTCTGAAGTTCTGCACTTTAGTCTCTGCTTAATGCAACTACCGATTATTTTTCCAATATCGATTAATGTGCCATAACTATTTAAATGAATGGTACCTCATTTAGTATATACATTTTTTTTTATTTTCCCAAAAATTGCAATTTCATGTCCAGAAACCCCAAAATATGAAGTAACCTATAATATATGAAAATGAAAAGCTTAAAATCCTCTCATTTAACCTCTTAAGGGCGGGGGCAATCGGGCTTAAGAGCCGTAAATACATTTTCTCAAATTAATTGATTTTAAAACGGTTCCCAATTATTGGCAAATATTGTATTTTTAACTGAACTCTACCTTTTACCTAACCCTTTTTTTTACTGATATGATATGATGAAATAATATTCTGCCAAGTACCTTAAATTGGCTCCATATTGCCAAGCTGGTAAAGGAGTATATTTAGAATGTGTTATTTCTACTTTTCCTCAGCAGTAAAGAATCAGAGTACTTGGTATGCAGTTATGCGACTACAGTTGGATTATCTCATACTGGCGTCCTTTACCTCGTCCCCCTTATCCTCCTTCATGCTGGCGGTCTCGAAGCCCTCCTTCTCCGACGGGATCCACACCATCTTCTTGGCGGACCAATCCGCCTGCGCCACCCCACTGTTGCGGAAGTCGTTATCCAGGAAGAGGAACTTGCTGTCGTCGGGGGCCGGGTCAGCCATGTTGGAGGTTTCAGCGTCAGGAGTCGAGTCGATCTCAGGCTCAGATTCAGAGGCTGTGGGGTCTGGGTCGGTACTGACGACTGGGTCGGCCTCTGGTGGGTCGATGGGAGTCGGGTTGACCTCTGACCTCGGTTTGACTTCTGGCCTGCTGACATAACAGACGACATAATCAAAATAGCTGAAAACGTGAACCACAACATGACAACAGGAGCAGCAGAATCCTGCAAATCATTGCTGCTAGAAAATAAATAGTTGAACACATAATTTCTTGTGAAACAACAATTCTAGGTGCTGGTGACCACGCAGCCCCCGGTTTACCAGCTGTATGTATGCTACGCTAATCGGCTGCTGGTGGTAGCTTCATACATACAGTACTGTACAGACACGAAACTGGTATTGATCTCTTATTCAAGCAAAAAAGAAAATAATCAGATTTCCCAGAAAACTATTTCTTATCGTTTTTCTTGAATTAATACCTTATCAACTTCCATTTTTATTCTTTTGCCCTACTTAAAGCTTACAGTATTTCTTATGTTTTCTTAAAAAATCTTTTTGGGCCTTTTTTATGATTTATTGGAAGCACGTTGAATTGCTTTTGTTAAAAATGTGCTGTAAAATGAACTTGTACTGTAATAAAATATTAATTCACTAACAAAGTGTTGTGAAAAGTCTTGCGGACCGAAGAAAACTGAACCTAAAAAAAGTAAGCAAAAAACGTTGGCCGTTAGTTTCAAGTATTTCTTTGTAACATTTTATATTTATACTTTAAGAATAAACAATCAAAGTTAAAGCCTGGTGAAAAAAAATCTATTTTAATATATATATTAACACTCAAAAACTTCCTTGGTTAATCAGATGTGATTAAAGAGCTGGAAGCATACAGTGAGCAAAAAAAACCAACCTAACCCAACAACTCTTCAAAACTATTTGAATAAGTACTTAATGAGTGTAAGATTGAAAGAGCTCAATTATCATCCAACAGAGGAGGATAGTTTTACAACACATCACACAGAGGACAAACCAGCATCATAAAACATATCCTCGTCCCTCAAACTGCTGCCGACTTTCACTCTAATTTAATTTACATTTATGACACATTACTGCAGATAACTGCCTCAGTGCATTTCCCTACAGGTTCACAATGAGCTACTTACTCCCTTATCCTCTTCTCTGCCTCTGCCTGCAGGTCACAAGGCTGCGTTGACCTCCGATGGAAGAGCAGGCAATAAAACATGAAAAGCAGCACACAGAAGATAATACCTATAATCAAACAACTCGGCTGCCATGCTGGAATGCCCATGTTTGGCTAACCCCTTTGCTCCTGGTAGCTTTGGTAGCCCAAAGAGGGATGCTACGGGACTTAGCAGGCATACTACCTTATAAGGTGCGGCTCATGTGTCCAGCCAAGCTCACCGTTTACACCAAAATGGTGACATGTCACAAGGTGCACCCAAGGGTGGCACAGGCGTGCACGCACAACAGAGCAGGTATGTGAGCAGGAATCTCTAATGAAGATTTCTGACATTTTTACTGAGACATTTAATGATTTAAGTGAAGGTCAATGATCCTCCATAATGATCCAAATACCAAGAAGTGTTAACCATTTAACACTACAAGAAATTCAGGATAATGTAGCAGGCTACTGGTTTTTTAATCAATGTTCATATCTACTTAATTAACAACTCTATTAATAATTAATTAATATTGTCACATATTGCTCTAAAAGTGACATAACTTTTATATACACACAAGTTATTTTTTTGCACATTAAAATGAATTCAGCAGGTTATTTCAGCTGAATTCATTACATGGGAGTATTAGCCTGCCCTTGTCTTCTGTATTAAATATGATCGTATAAAAAGTATATAATATATGAATAAATGAAGTATTTGTACTCACTGTGCAGTTCTTCAGCCCTCAGTGCAGGATGCAGACTCCACTCCAGGGAAATGAGAATATCATGTCAGGTAAATGAACTGATGATGATGATCATGTCCTTCCTCCTTTCTCACTATTTAAACTGGCCCGCGATACCTGGGGGTGGAGCAGAAGCGCGCGCGACCCACCTCGTTTCCAAAGTTGGCAGAGACGTCCATTCAGCCAATCACAGAAGCAGGAGAGGTTTGCCTTCAAAACAAAAGCATAAATGTTCTAAACAGAATTTGGGGTTTTTCTGATATTGAGCAATTGTTTCTGTTATTATTCTTGGCTGCTAAATTCACTCAAGCATTGTACTTAAAACAACTTTAAGTTTCCGCTAATTTAACTCTTATTTTGTACGTTTACAGTTTAACTCAATTCATGCTTCAAAATATTCATTTGCCAGCTGTAGTTGATTGTTGATTTCCACATAATCATTTAACACTTACTGTACACAAACGACTATAGCCTACAACATAGGCTACACTAAGATATATCATATTTCATATCGGCTAATTCCCAAATATCGTTAAAAGTAGGCCTATAGCCTACTTACAAACCAAAAGGGATATGTGAAGCCGGTCATTACTAAAACAGATCCGACAGAGTGGGCACTGGGCAGGGTGGTGAATGTGAAGTCAAGGGCCGAGATGTAGGCCTAGTTTGTTTATCTTAGTGAACTGTAGCTTTAAAAAAATTAATAATAAACGGTGTTAATGTGGAGAACATCCTGCTGAACAAATGTGTAAGTATTATAAACGTTACTGGGTTGACAATCATATTACGAATACTGAAAACGATATTTTTGAGTAAACTCTCAATTGTCTTAAGGGGAAATCAAGTTAGCTAACATACTATGGGCCTAACGTTCTTTTATTTTGAAAGGTTTATGCGATGTCTGGTTTCCATGGTGACTAATGACTATACCAAACAACAGCTAACTTCACTTGCTTCAAGTTTCTTTTTAACACTTTTCTGTAAGAAAATTTAAATGTCTGCATCGGTTGAGCAGGAGGACTTAGATAAATGCTTCACCGTGTTTGACGGCTCTTCTCCGGAGGATGTGTCCCATGCCCGGCAGCTGTGGAGCTCGCTGTCCCTCCTGCCGCCGCTGGAGTCCCGGCTGGTGTCCGCAGACATCCGCCAGAGGCTGCCGGTGTTCCGGCCGCAGCGCAGCAGCAGCGCCGGTCCCAAGCCCTCCGCCCCGGCCCCACAGCCGCCCAGCGTGTCTGCTCTCCGGCAGAGACGGGAGGAGAGGCAGCGGTATGCCGCCATGGCCGACCAGAGGCGGGAGATACTCACTCTGCTGAGCCGGCAGAGGGAGCAGAGGATCCAGAAGGAGCTGCTCTCTGTGGGCTTCAAACCGAAGCTGAAGCTCGGCAGGGAGAAAATGTTGAATCTGCAAAAACCTCCAGACTCTGTCACTGACGAGGAGCTGGTGAAGCAACTGCAGTAAAAATACTTTTTAGACTTATTAAAATACTCTTTATTGGCTCTTTGATTTTAAGTTAATCAAGTTAGACCTGTATGTAACTTTATGTAGTCTGGTGTTAAGGCATATTTCAAAATGCATGTTGTCCTAGACAGCGACGTGCACAGACATTTTGGGGGGCAGGTGCTCAAGTGAGAAAAAGGGCACTTCCCATATTCATTTATAAAAAAAAATGTAAAACAAAAAGTTAAATATAGTTGCACATCTCTGACTTACTGACCAATTTATTTTAATACCCTCACACTCACGCAATTGTTTAATACTCAACAGAATTCTACAAAATAATCAGCTAACACAGAGACAATGGTCTTCTTTAGTATTCACAATGTACAAGAGCAGACAACAAACTAGTACATTTAATAGTTATTAAATGAGCAGCCAACAATCAAAATTATGAAGTTACTGTTTAAGGACATTACAGGCAAACATATCGTTTTTTCATGTAGCCTACTTGTTATTTTGGTCTATTTTGCTTCCATGTTTTCTTTCACATATAAATGGTGTTTGTTTTACTACAATGTCTGAATTCATCTATAGGCTAGATTAAAGCTAATCTGCATATTTAAACATAACATTTCAGGGGAAAATACTGACTTGACGTAAGTAACTATCTGGGGAAGTTGTGAGGTGATGTGTTTTTTTGTTTTATCCTTTTCACCTGCAATGCCTTGGTAACTGCATGCAAATTAGCGCATTTGAATTAGGCCTAGTTAACGCCTAACTTGCATATCAATGTGGCGATTGTGATGACATTATTAGATACACATTTTACTGTATTCACTTTAAGTGTCTCCCCTTAAGTACAGTACATTAGCCTGTATGCCCATGATAAATTGCCTTAGCTAAACCTTGAGCTAACTTATCCATTAGCTAGTAGCCTACCTTAGTTAACTATATTTGTTATTGTCTTTTAGCTAATTAGCTGTAAACTTGAGGCACTGGCAGTTTAGTAATTTGTTCATCACCCCTCACCTTCAAAATAAGCCAAGAAAAGCCGGCATAACATGGGACAGTAAAGTGGGAGGTGCTGCTACCTGTCTGTCTTCTTCTTCTTTCGTGTAACGTCAGAGGTCCAACTCGGTGTCGTGTAGCCATGCCCGCATCTCTGGTCCTACGTCGAAGAGGCTGGCTTCCGAGGGTGGTCTATATAAAGGGCAGGTGGTTATTATATGTTCGGCAGTCTGTACCTGTCTGTCTGAAGGGACTGCCGATGTCCGCACCGCTGTGCAGGAGACGTGGAGGGAGGGCTACGGAACTTCAGAGTCTAATCTCCCGACCTGATATTTTAATTTTTTATTCAATCAATATATTTTTGGAAAGGGAAACTGTGCGCAAACAGCAGTATATATATATATATATATATATATATATATATATTCATTTATAAAAATAAAAAAAAGTGGGGGAAAAGGGCACTTTCTCTGGAGGAAGAAAAAGGGCAGGGGCTCAAGCCCACTTTGATGTCTATGTGTGCACGTGCCTATAGATATTAATGGTAAAATAAGTATCTAGATCAGGGGTTTCCAAACTACGGCCCGGGGACCAAATGCGGCCCGCGGACCATTTTGAATCAGCCCTCAGCAAATACAAAAAGTATAATGACTTAAGTATAATAAACTTCTGCTTTTCTTATTTTGTACTTCTTAAATATATATGTTCAATAATATTACACTGTATTCATGTGTTAATATGCCCAATTTTCAAATAAATTCAGTCAATTAAAGTTGAAAACATGTTCTAACAAATCTTAGTTGATGAGAAAAAGCCCAATAACACATTTACATAACAACCTTGAAATATACCATTCATATTTCCTCTTATTATAAGCAATCTGAAGCTTCTGTTTTAAGGAATGAGCTGCCAACAAAATAAATGAAACCATGGAGAGCAGTTATGTAGGCTGTTTTTTTCTTAAAGCATTTTCAAGTATCAAGAATAATTTACCTACATTGGATTGATTTTTCCAACTTATAACTGACCTTATGAGGCAATACACCTCACCTGGCCCAGCCCTTCGTATATTTTTCTGTATGTAGCCCTCGTTGAAAAAAGTTTGGACACCCCTGATCTAGATATTTTACTTAATTTAGTGAAAATAAAGTACAGTTCCACAGTGTACACATTTAAATTCATAAAAAAAAAAGTTCAAAAGTATTAACATCAAGATGTACTTAAAGTATCAAAAGTAATAGTATTTATTATACAATATGGGCCATTTTAGAATAACAATATTGGGTTATAATTACATCACTTTAGTGTTGTAGTTGGTAAAGGTGGAGCTACTTATCATTTATTGATATGCTTTTTTCTGATCCTTTACTTGAATGAAAGTAGCAGTTCCAGTGTAGCAATATCATTATATATAACAATATTGTATTGTAATTATTTATATGCTACATCATTTTCGATTACATTTTCAAGACTTTTTTCTTGCACAAATATCAGAAAAATGCAATGTCCATCTTTTCTGTTTTATATCACATAAAAGTGAACAACTTTTGTTTCAAGACTGACAAAACCAAGCGAATCATCGAGCAGCACTAAATTACTGTATATTTAAGTATTTCCAGTGACAGTCTTTACTTATTTATGACAGTCTGGTGTTCTGCAGGTAAAATGTTTGCCATGTCAATAATCACAGAGTACATTTTAGGCGAATGTGAACTGGACAAATTGAACTTTTTGACCTGATCAAGGCACCAGATGGAAAGTAAGGGGATCAGCAAAGTCCTTGATGTTTTTGGACATTTTGAAATACCATGCACATTCACACAGGTGTTTTTAATTACCCGGCTGATTAGTCAGATGGGGGCAGCAGCTGTGCTGACTTTACACAGATATGTTAGCAGGAAGAGCCCAGGTGTAACTGATTAACTGTAACATTTAACATTAATCAAATAACCAATAATGTGTCGAGGGTTGAAAACAGCAAACCTAGGAAATAAATGAAAGTTAAACAAGAGCAAGATTTATAATAAAAACACTATTCTTTTGTGTTTTCCTCGTGCTATAATAAAACCTTTGTTTACTTATTATTTCTGAATTAGCTGCTGTAAAACTGTCTAAAAATACACATTTTTTTTTTCTCTTCTTCTGCTTTAAAAAGTTTAAATATCTGCTGTAATAAATAAATAATTATAATTATAAATGCAGGTTTATTTTTGTAGGTTTTCCGCGAAAAATAATTGGCCTTGTTTTAATAACATAGAGCAAAATTAAAATCAAAAGTAAAAAAGAATGCAATAGTCAAGGAAAATTGGTATAAATTAAAAACATTTAGTCTACAATAAGAAATATGTAAAATAATGTACAACAAAACCATCAAAAAGGAAGTAAAAAATAGGTAATAATACAAACAAAAACATATAATAATAACATTCCGTAACTGATGCCGATCAAGTTTTTTAGACTGACAGTATTTCAACCTGCTATAGTCTTTTGCTAGACTTTCTTTTCTTTCTTTCTTTAGCCTTTATTTAACCAGGTTAAAAAATCCCATTGAGATCAACGATCTCTTTTTCAAGGGAGACCTGCAGTACATTGGTTACACATAAAAACAACAGAAAACAAAAAGGACATCACAACATAATTACAGGGGTATAAATTAGCAACCTATTCACAATGACAGGTATCTAATAACATTTAATCCAGCCGCGCTTTAAAATGATGCAAGGGAACCAAAATGCTCAGTTTCAATTTGTTTTGCATAGTGTTCCAAGCTAGAGGAGCAGCGCACATAAAAGCTTTAGTACCTAAAACAGTCCTAGCACTTGGCACATGTAATAAAAACACATCCTGGGATCTCAGGCAATAGCTACTTGTCACTCTCTGTGAGATCAAAGAGCATATATAAGTTGGGAGTTTACCCAGCATAGCTTTATAGATAAATATGTACCAATGACTGAGCCTCCGTACAGTAAGTGAAGGCAGACGTGCCTTGGCATACAGGGTACAGTGATGAGTAAGTGCTTTACAGTTAGTAACAAATCTCAGATCACTTTGATAGGCAGCATCTAACCTTTCCAGGCAATGGGCAGGTACATTCATATATATCAAATCACCATAGTCCAGCACAGGTAAAAAGGTCACAGTGACTAGCCTTTTCCTGGCTTCAAAAGAGAAACAGGACTTGTTTCTAAAAAAGAAACCTAGTCTAACCCTCAGCTTTTTAAGCAGATTAATGACCTGAAGACAATCATCAAGCCAGATACCAAGGTATTTATAACAGGTAACCACTTAAAGTACTTGTCCTTGCATAGTAACAATATCCAAAGCAGTCTCTGGAGTCTTTTTAGCTTTAGAAAAGAGCATTACCTTGGTTTTCTCAACATTTAAAAGAAGCTTAAGTTCAGCGAGCTGAGTCTGAATAATGTTAAAAAGAGCCTGTAATTTAACAACCGCCTCCTTAATGGAGGGACCTACACAATACATCACGGTATCATCCGCATAAAAATGTAAAGTAGCTTCATCCACATTTTCACCTAAACTATTGATGTAGATGGAGAATAAAAGTGGACCTAAAACGGAACCTTGAGAAACACCATTAGCAATGTTCAACCACTCAGAAGACAGCCCATCAAAATGAACACATTGGGACCTTTCAGAGAGGTAGTTCACAAACCACCCCACTGCATGGCTGGATATGCCAATACTGAGTAGCCTCTGCTTTAAGATGCGATGATCGACGGTAAAAAAAAAAAAGCTTTGGAAAGGTCAATAAATAGATCTGCACAACTCTGCTTATTATCTAAAATACTCGTAATGTCATTCACCACTTTCATTGTCGCAGTGATGGTGCTATGTTTCTTTCTGAAGCCTGACTGATGTTTAGACAGGATGTCATTTTTACATAAAAACACCTTTACTTGTTCACTCACTAGGCGTTCAAGAACCTTAGCCAGAACTGATAATTTAGAGATTGGCCTATAGTTATTTAAAATAGTTGCCCCCCCTCCTTTCAGTAA